CAAAATGCTACAAAGACAAAAAGAGCAGCTTTGATTACATAATTAGGCATTAGATGTTCTGGAAGAGTTAACCAAAATTGGTAAAAAGTATCTGAGTGTTTTCATTTAGGCTTATAACTGAAAGGATATAAAATATTTTTACTGTTGTGTTGTTTATCCTAACCAAAAGTTTTTCAGCCCTTTAGGATGAAAAAGGTTAAAATGAAATTGTTTATATGTCTGTGTCTTATTTCATTTTATGCTTCGATAACAGAATAAACCAGACTAGGTCATTTATAATGAACACCAACATATTTAGTTCATGATTTTGGACTTTGTGAAGTTCAAGTTTGAAGAGTTGTGCACTGAGGCTCTTCTGGCTACATCTTAATATGGGCAAGGGAATCAAACAGGTAAGAGAGAGCAAGAGAGGACTCTACATTCTGGATAATGAACTATTTCTCTAATACAGGCATTAACCCATAATCACTTCTTGAAAGTCCTACCTTCAAAAATGGGTGTTCATACTAAATGTCTAGCATATAAATTTGGAGAACTAGTTCACCCGCTCCCTCCCCTAATTTTAGCTGGCAGTTACTTGAGCCCACTCATACCATACCTTCTGCTTCTCCTTAAGGTCTGAGAATGATATCACACTCTGAAAATATTCACCCGCTGCCTATCTTTTCCAATCACTCCTACAACATAGAGAAAGCTCAAGGCAGAGGAAGACCTTCCCTGGAAGAGGAAAACAGGTAAGAGCCCTAAAAATTCCATTTCTATTTGCTGTGAGATAATATTATATCTCTTCTCATCATATGAAAAGAAATTTCTCCTTTCTTCTTGCCTACCATAGGCAATTCAGGTCCACATTTGGAGGATTTCACATGGTGAATCTAAAACTTTTGATTGTGTGTTCTGGTGTCCCCTGAAGCTATCATTGGGACATGAACACCAAGTTAGGCAACAGATATTGATTAAATTAGTATTAGGAATTTAGGTACAACAGAGTCCATCATATCTGACACACTTGCAATCATTGATAAGCTCATTATATAAGGAAATTAAATCTAGAAGCAATGATAGAGTCATAATTTATACATTTAATTTTAACTTTAACCAGAAATGCTTGCTCATTCTGCATTGTAGGAATAAGGACACAGTATTACTTGAAGAATGGGTCTACTATTTGCATTTCTCACCACTGTTTTCATTTTTGTTTTTATATCAACTCTTGGTGAAGTGCACAGTTAACTACTGCCAGTTTGGATTTTTTAAAGGAAAAAACAGAGAATTTCAAAATTTTTAAATGCAAAATCTTTCTATCCTCCTTCCCCAATGCTGTGAGCATTCATTCAATCTTTTTTGCAATAACCTGTTTCTAAATCTTCCAAACACTTGGGCAAGCACTCTACCACTGAGCTAAATCTCAGCCTTATAATTATTCAATTTACATTCATCTTTTACTGCTATGTAAAATATTTTTACTAAATGTCATTAATACAACAAATACAACTAGCGTAAAGTTTGAAAACATCCTACTAACTTGTACTTAGCATATTTTTAAAGTGATAAGAACAGAAAAGTAAAAATTTCAAGGTGCTATGAATTCTAGTCAACATATTTATAATTAAAGTAGGGGGATTCAGTTCATTCTGAAGCTGTCTAAGTATGCACCTTTTAAACCAATTTATTTTGCAGTTATCAAAGTCCTCTGTTTATGTAAAGATCTGAAAATGATTTAAATTATTTGCAATATGATCACATCTCTTAGGGCAAAACTTGACCCACATTTCAATCTCTACATTAAAGTAACTATAAATTTTTCAGTTTGGAATTTAATGTGAGGAAGTAAAGAAAGATACAATAGAAAATGAGCAGGAAAAGAATGATTTAAATTTCAATTCCATCCATAAGCAGCTTTTGAAATAGTAAATTTAAAATATTATCTCACAAAATTGATATGAAAGAATAAAGATATTACATATCCTAAATAGTGTGTTTTATCATTCAAAATTATCCATATATATTTTTAAAATAGTATTACTCTGCAATTTAAATTTCCTAGCAGATTATAGAATTATTTATTAATTTAATAAATTAATTATTTATTTGTTTAATTATTTGTTTAATTAATCAATTTAATTAATTATTTAATTAATTTAATTAATTATTTGTTTAATTATTTATTATATCAACATTACAAATAGATAACTTGAAAACCAGTAAGAGCTACCTATCAAAATTATTCCACAGTAACACAAAATTTTGAAACCAGCTCTGAATACAAATATAATAGAAATACTTCAATAAATATTTTTAGTATTGAATATTTTTTGTTACAATGAAATAAACTAAATAAGCTTAACTTACCATACCACATATTGGTACAAGAGTCTGATGTTTGATTACTTGGAATTTACAATTGGATTAACCATTCTACATTTCAGTCATAACATTTACATTAGTTCTTTTCCAGCACTCCATTTATGCTCATGCACTGTAAGTAGGAACATTCATTCCATTGCATTATATATGTTGGTAAACTCAAGGCCCAAAAATGAAGTTAATAGTGCTTCCATTGTAAGTCTTTTATCACATCTCTGCACATCAGATTTCAAAAAACCAAGGACTCATGTTGAAATTGGCTAATAACCAAACTACTCACTGTCAAATTAACTGTTCCCATCTGAGGTGATAAATAGCGAGTTCATAGCTGTAAACCACGGTGTATGAAAAATAGCTCATTGACATCTGTTCTTAACATCTGGCTTTGTAATTGATGCGCCAAAGCAAATAGGAGATGCAATTCCATTTTACCTCTCAAAAATTAGCTTTTTTTTGATCATTTATGTCTGAATTGAATGCCTGTGTAGCATCAATAAAATGAAAGGACTCACTGTTATATTAATAAAGGCCAACCGTTCAGGTTCAAGCATGCTTGATTTACACTAACCCTTTATTGAGTAATATCTCAGTACCAGCAACTTCGTGAGACAGTCTTAATGCAAACCCTCCCTTCGGAAAAACAAAGCAAGGCTACGTTCTTAATTCCCTATCCCAGCTCTTCAGGAGAAACAGTGTCTCATTAATTTAAAAAGTAAAAAATACACACAGAGACATATATTATAAATTTTATATAATATAGTTAATATACTCTGTATATTATAAATTTGATATATACCTCATATATTACATTTTTCTTAAAGAGCTTATTATACAAAGACTTGTTTAAATCAATTATGTATTCATTTTTCACAAGCAATATGGTAGAACTATTTTTATAAAATTTTGAACACGCAATATAAAATAAATACCATATACAAATTCACAGTGATTATCTTTACTCCGCTATTACTACATACATAACAATAATGTGATTACATACACATGAGAATAAAAGCAAGTTAAAGAAAGTGTTGAAAACAATTATACTGGTAATTAACATGCTTGTGCCAGTAATAAATATGGATATAACCTTTAAAGAACTCAAAAGAATAATTGCTTAATATGCCTCACTAATAATATGCCTGAGTCACTCAGAAATAATTTATAGATTTTAAAGTGATTCAATGAATTGAATTATCCTAATTTTGCATGACAACATCTGTTTTCTCAGAAAATAGACAATGGAGCATTCAAACCGTAACTTTATCAAACCACAAACTTTTGGTCTAACAAGTTTATAAGCATGACTAAATGGTCAAAGTAGTGAACAGCTTATGATCTTTATTAGTCCTGCTCTTTCATGTAAATGATTGAAATTATTCTTTTATCAAGAGCTTGCAGTGTGCTTAACTTGCCAAGCCCCATGCCAGTACGAAAGGATACAAAGCACAAAATGAAAAGGATACAAAGCACAAACTTCGTGGGACTGCGGTAAGCAAACTAACAGTTGCCTGTAGTGGAATAACTGTCAGCAACAGGAAGCACAAGTCTCAAGTGCATACACAGAAGGAGCACGAACTCAAAGGAGAGGGCAGAAAGACTTCTTGAAGGAACTAGTGAGGAGGAAAACAGGTTTGTTAGAAGAAATGCAAGCCTGAACACCCCAAATGGAGGCCAAAAGGATGTAAAATAGCTGACTAAATGCGCCTAGTTCTGCTTCTGTAGCCACGCTTGCTTGCTTGCTTGCTCCTGCCCAAAACCTCTACATAAGACACCCCCAACAAAGGCTCTGGCTCAGATCTTTGGGGAGCTTATCACCCCTGAGCCCTGCTGGAGTATGAAAGTTTGGTTCCCTTCACCTCTCCAAGTGCTGCTTGGTTTCTTCACTTCCAGTAAATCTAAAACTACTGGAAGATCTAGTTCTCTGAAAGGGGAAACTGGCTGTTCTGGTCCCTTGTGCCACCAGCTTGGAGTCTGGAGAGCAGCTACCAGAGGCCCTTCCCAGAAACACAAGACAGCAGCCTTCCGCATCCTTGGCAGGACCTCCTTCACTGGGAAAGGGTGGCCGACAAGCACTCCGGCACCCTCCTGATCAGATTAGGTGGAGATGGGCATACGTCTCCTGTTGGATCTTCTAGGTAAGGTGCCAGGGCAATCTCAAGTGAGGCCCATTCAAAGATGGTAGGGGAGTCTGATCACTTCCCAAGGTCTTAAACTAGAGACCTCAGTCAGGGGTCTCCCATAAGGGAGGAAGAATGTTATAACCTCTGAAACACTGTGTGAGCGAACAAGAACATATTTGTGGCTCCATAGTGCAAGCTACGGAGTCTGAGTGGGCCCTGACCTGCATTTCTGTGATGATGTCTAAAGGCACAGTGGTGATTCATCCTTTGTAATAGGGAACTGACCGGGCCCAGGTTTATATGAGTACACCTTAGCCAAGATGTGCCAAAGACATAATTACCAATTAATTTTACTATTAATTACTTTTTACTTCACTTATTTGTTTTTACAATTGATGTATGATTACAAAAATAAAAACATAGATTATTGTGAATGTACACTTTTTACTTGGAAACAATATTACATTTAAATCTTTTTATTATTTATTCATTGTTAATTCCCTCTATTGTTAGAATAGGAAAACAAAGAAGGAAATGAATGTCAAAACTGTCCATTAAAGATAAAAGGAAGGCCAACAACAGAAGAGTGGGTAAGTAATTACTGACTTTGTAATTTTGTAGTATTTAATTGAGAACATAATAAATAAGTGTCGTATATTCTTTCACAATACTTGCTCAGATATAGCTGTAACAGAGAGAAAATCAGGCATCATGTTAAAATTTCCAATGATTACTTTTGAAATTAAATTTACTACCATAGTTTATCACCAAACCCATAAACAGAATCTGACAGGCATCTACCAAGAAGTGAACTTTTGCCAGGAGCTTTGTACCCTAGAGTATGATGGAGACTCAACGTTCAATGAAGATCAAGTAGTCAATGTCCTCATTTTGCATAGTTTTTTGGTGCAAAAGAATAGCAGCACATTATAAAGCAGAGATTTTATAAGAATTTTCATTGAAAAAAATAGTACAAATAATAATCCATAAGAGGTAAAACAACACAGAAAGAGAGAGAGAGAGAGAGAGAGAGAGAGAGAGAGAAAGGAGAGAGAGAGAAAGAAAGGGAAGGGGAGAAAGAGGGGCTAGATAGAAAGGACACTTTCCAAGACACAGAACCTTAAGAACATTGGATGCTTTACTGAATGCAGGCAATCACATTCACAAGTAGACCCCTCTCTCTCTGTGCCTTCTACCTGGAAGACTATTCTTGTTCCCTGCTCTTTTCTCTCTGTCTGATTCTTTCCCTCTCATCCTGCTTCCCAGTTGCCCTGTTCTTGAGAGGACTACATGACAACAGTGTGAAAGAACGCCAGCCCACAGACTTTCATGAAGTAAGCGCCTTTTGTCCCAGAACAATGGAAATCAGCCACAACCTTTTAAAGATGCATTTCTATTATTTCCCATATACCCATAATTTTGTTATTTTCCTTTGCATTTCCTTAGTCCAATGTTCATCTCAACCAGGCTAAATATTCATTGAATATTTATGCTGCAACATGAAATTGCAGTTTCTCAGTGTCAAGATTACTGTACATGTTTCAACCTACTTAGAACCATATTTATTTCTAGTTAATGGACACCTTAAATGTAATTCTTAACACTCAACATTAAAACTTCAATTCATATTTACAAAAAAATACTAAATAATTAAATACTAAAACTTCAATGAATAGTTAATTTATCAAAGTTCACTTGTTCTCTCTATCTTCATGTAATTATACAGTTACATAATTAATTACAGAAGTTAAATTTAAGAAGTTGTATGTGAAAGCTTTGGAAGACTCCAAAGCTTACACATTAAGGGCTTGTGCCCAGTACCGCAGTGTTCAGAGTGGAACTTGAGGAGGTGACTGGTTCAAGATGGTGCTAACATCACCAACAGTCCATGAACGAGTTCATAGCTGCATCTTCTGTCAGGGTAGGTATGTCACTGGGGGTGTAACCTGGAAGACTCTTCTTGTCCCTGGACCTCCTCTCTCTCTCTCTCTCTCTCTCTCTCTCTCTCTCTCTCTCTCTCTCTCTCTGTCTCTGATGCTTTCCCTCTTACCCTTCTTTGCACTTGCCATGTACTGGTCCTCTCTGGCTCCGCGATGCCCTTCTGCCATGATGCTTCTGTATTGCCACAGTCCTAAAACAATGAGCCAGCTGAGGGCAGACTGAAATTTTGGAAATCATAAGTCTACATAAATCCTTTCCCCTCAAGTTGCTCGTTTTGGGCATTTTATCCCAGAAATGAAAAGGTAACCTGGTTACCTACATGAACCTGCTCTAAAGATAAAGATAGTGATACTACCACTGCCAAGAAACTAAACATGAGCCATAACGTGAAGTAGTGTTTAGGATCCTTCCTTGATTAGCCAGTGTAAAAAAGTGTGGTCCTGGTGTAACATTTGGATGCAGTATTTAATAAAGCATAGGCATTACGAACAAACCGTGTATTCCTTGATTATTCCTGAGGAAGTACACTACTTCACACTTGTACTGATGTTGCCAGACTTCATGACTCAGTCACTGGCTTGGACTCTGTGCAGCTGGACCCATAAGTAGTGAACAGCTTTGGCTCAAGATGCCTTGGCTCTAGGTATGTGGCCAGGCTTTGCGTCTGCCAAAATGTCTCACTCTTCTATTTTCAGCAGAATGTGTGAACATTAGTGCCTCAGCCTGTTTCCTCCTGCCTCAGGCAGCAAACATTTAACAAGGTGTTTCCCTGAGTATTGTTCACAGGGGCTTTCATACATGGCCTGGGGAAATAGAACTTGGAACAATAGTTTTGGAAAGCAATTTGGCAATCTTCATTAACCGCCTTAGTATTATCTTTGCACTTTGACCCAAATAAATTCATTTAGGGGTTGGGGATTAAGCTCAGCCGCACAATGCCTGCCTGACAAGCACAAGGTCATGAGTTGCATTCCTGGTACCAGAAAAACAAACAAACAAACAAACAAACAAACAACAACAACAACAAAAACAAATAAATTCACTTACAGGAATCTAGGAGAAAAAAATATATATATAAATATAGAGAGAGATAATAGATATCTACAAAATGGTTTTTTCACAGTGCTTATCAAAGCTCTTCATAATAAAGAAAAGTGAAAATGAAACCAAATCTCTCAAAATAAGCAGAAGGTTAAAATTAATCTGAAATATTCATGTGATGACATGTTGAGCAGCCATTAAAAATGAACAAGTATGAAACTCAGGAAAAAGTATAAGTGATAAAGATAAAAAAGTTATTTCAACTATGTAAAAATATACATAGGAAGATTCATAAAACAGAAATTCTTCAAAATACCATAGAATATGTGGCCAGACATGATAATTTAATGTTTGATTCTTTATTTCTTTAAGATTAATTGTTTTTTCCAAAAACTATAAATAGCGACAAATGTGGGCAGAGACCTTTTTTTTTCTCTAAATTATTTTTCCTTACCTCCAGAAGTGAAGGGATACTTTCTACTCATCCAGGTCCTCCCAAGGGTCTGTCTAAAGGTGGGTAGTTTATCTTCATTGGATTATTTGCTCCTGAAGGTCAACTAACAGGCGACATGTGGAAGTGAATTACTATTAGCACATTTGTCTTTCTCTTGTTGCCTACACTCATTGACCAGAGCAAAGTTGCTATTTATTCTTTACTGTATCATATTGGCATGAATCATCTTGATATTTACTCTCTTGTCTCATTTTCAAGGGATGAAACTGCAGAAGTAACTTCAAGAAGTCATTCAAGTAATCATTTGTTAATTTTTATCAACAATACAAATATCCATTTAGAATGGAAGTATCTACTGAACCAGAACCTTATCTGTCAAGTATTCATAAAGCTGTAAAAACACTCTTTTGGAATGTGTATGGTTTTCTATCTTCCAAACCTTGGACTCTGTCCTGATTTTTCTTGCATAGTTAAGGCAGAAGATAGTGAAACAAAGAGAGAAAAGATATTTTATATGTGTGTGTGTGTGTGTGTGTGTGTGTGTGTATAAAATTATTCCTTAGACAACCAAAAAATTATCAATCTTAAGTTTCTACCAATCAGAGGTAATATGAGATTTTGGTCTTCTCATGTAATACATATATTATCTAAATATACAGATGACAATCTGTTATTAATAGCTATTAAAGAAGTAAAATGATACAATTGTGTTAGCTTTTCTGTTGCTATGAAGAAGTGCTTGATACCAACAATTTGAAAGAGAAGAGATTTATTTGGCTTACAGCTTCAGAGGATTCAGTGCTTGGTTAGCTGCCTCCAAGCAGAAACATGGCAGAAGGGCATGACAGAAGAAAGCTGCTGCACCTATGGCACCAAGCAAGCAGAAAGAATAAAAGAGTTGTAGACAAAAATATAGCTTTCATGTCAGCCTCCAGTAATCTACCCACTAAGAACACAGGCAACTGTGAACTCATTGATGGATTAATCCACTGATGGGTACAGGGCCCCTAGGATCCAACTACCCCAAAGCCTTGCCTCTGAATACATGAGACTTTTGAAGGGCGTTTTAGATCTAAACCATAACAACAGCATTTTAAATTATAATATTAAATAGAATTAAGCAATTATATATATGATGAAGTAACTTAGAAGATTTAATTCTCCCTATTAGTTCATATTAATTATACAGAATATTGAGTCTACTGTGACATTTTCATATGTATAATCAGAACGTGATACACTTTGATCATATCCACCATCCTCTTGCAATCCCTTTCTGGTCCCCTAATCCCTTTACTATTTTCTCATAGTCTTCTTAGGAGACAAATTTAATATCCCTGTAAAATTTGAAAGTAAACCTGTTTAATTAAAATATATACATCTAATTATAAAAACAGGTATAAACATTTTACATAAAAACAAACTATTTCAAGGACAATTGCACAAGTTAGTGCTGTTATTCTCTGTTTGTAGAATTGGTTTCTTTAAAATGTATTTTAGGTCATTCTGAATATACCCTTGAGATTCAGAAATTTCCTGCTTTCATATGTTAACACTATTAACAATATCACAAGAATTTATGATAAATAGAAAATTCTTATTTCTTATTTTTAACATTAATTTTATTTTTTATCTTTAATTTTAAAATGTCACAATAGCAGCAAAGAAATATTTCTCAGAATAAAAGAAAAAGCACCCATAGCTTAATCACTTTCATATACCTTCGCCTTCTTAAGTAGGCAGAATTTTTTGTGCAATTCCATCTAATGCCCATTCTCTTTTCATTTCTCATATAAATATTCAAGAAAAATTTGATTTCATAGAAGATAAAGTGGGAGGTTTTTATTTCATTGAGGAATTTTTAGAAAATCAAGTAAATTGTGTGTGTGTCATACCCTCACATCACTCAATTCTAAAAAACTACTTAAAATTCTACTATTGTACTATTTTACTCTAAGGTTAATCACATTCACCAAGATATTTCTGCACTTTGTGATTGTCATCATATATTGTAAAACTCTAATGTCCAATTTTTCTAGGTTTCCATGATTCCTTCCCCAACCCTGTCCCTTAAACTAACTAGTTATATTCTATACCTAGTGTCCATTAGATAGAGGTCCCTAAAGTCTTCCTTCATTTCTAATATTTAGAATCACTTTACATTCCAGGGTCTGGGGATTTAGCTCAGCAGCAAAGCGCCTGCCTGGCAAGCACAAGGTCATGAGTCCGATTCCTGGTACCGGAAGAAAAGACAAAAAAAAAAGGATAGAATCACTTTACATTCCATTTCCATATCTTTTCAATCTCTGGACAGTTTAGCTCTGCACTGGTATTTCTGTTTCTTCTTGGACTGAGTAACTGTTCTATTTTTTTTGTGGCTTAAACACCCTAAAAATGTGCAATTTAGGCAGGGCTAAGATGTATCTATTAATTTCCATTCTGTAGTGTCTCACACATCATTTGTTTTCACTCTAATGACAGGGAGATAAAATATCAAAGAAGTGGCCAAAAGTTAGATTTTCTTTGTGCTTTCTGACGGTCTCTTTGTGTGTTTGCTACACAATTTCTGTCCATTTTGCTGGCCTTAGGTAGAAACACTTATTCCATTTATCTAGATCTCCAAGAACCAGAGTTGCAAGAGGCCTAGAACAAAACTCCAGTTTCCACTTACGTCGCTTATAAGTTTTCGGAGTCATGCCTCTTTAATCTATCTATTATGTAAGTCATTATCATCCCAGGTTCAAAGCGAAGGTAAGTAAACACTGCTGCATAGCTAGTAGTTAAGAACAAAGAATTTCCAACCCTCCTAATCTATCACATTGATAGGTTCTAGCTTAGTTTATCAAGTACACTAGGGAGAACATTCCTACTTCAACTAGATCATCTATATATTATAGA